ACGTTTGGCTTTTGAAACGTGGGGGTGACCCCCGCATTTGGAGTTTGGAACGCGAGGATGAACCCTCGCATTTGACCTTAAAGAGATCGTCAATTGTAATCTCTTTTTCAAAATTTACAAGGATCATCAGCTTGTAATCCTTATATTTTGTTATTAAAAATGTGAGAGTCGTCAATTTATAACTCTCGTTTGTTTTCGTAAAAGTTGTCAGGTTATAACTTGCATCATCAGTGCTTTATGAGGATCGGCTATCTGTAATAATTTTTAGACAGCCTACAGTCAACAAGACAATAGTTTCCTCAAACCCCTCGCCATCCGACTACTCTCGCATTAACTGCCCTGACAACATCATTATTGCTCTATCCCCATAGCCTTTATGACTCATCGGACCCAATCATCACTAAGCACCTTCTGCCTTTCCCATGATAATTGACCGAGTGACTCACCTCCTCCAGTAACCGGCCGTAGCACATGTCTATCAACTCAGCTGCCTAGCTAGACTCGACCCAAGTTAGCTTCTTGTCCCTCAGACCCAGTATAAAAAGAGCGACACTGCATGAGGTAACTCTCTATGAGTTTTTGGGATGTAACTAAGAGCTAACTCTATATTTCCTCACTCAAGATCATCTACTAACTTGATCATCGAAGAAATAGCCGGAGAACACAACTCCGCCCTCTTACGAGTTCTTTCATGTGCAGGGAAGAACAACAAGCGCCAAAACCATTTATCAGAAGGAGTTAGAGGACCATCATCACTCCACAAATTCTCGGTAACCCCCCTTTTTGATAACTGACATCAGCATCTCCTCTTATGTGTCTTGTTATATAGCGCAACATATTTGATCAATGCCTTCATTTCCTTTGCGATATTATTTATATATAATTTTATAATAAGTTTATGACTCTTTTAGTATTTGAAGAATAAAGTATTAAAATTTATAAATACTTACTAATTTTTCTTGTATCTTCCATGAAGAATGCTTCTTTGATTAAGACAAAGTTGTCAATATGTTATCTATGGGGAACTCAATTGGTGCTTATTTGGTGGATATGCCTTTTATCAATGTCAATTCAAATGATTCTTGGACATTTTCAATTTTTGGGGTTTATTTCCTTCACTTCTGCATTTTTAGTGGAAATAAATTGATTCTTTTGAAGGATATCTTTAAACTTTCTGATAGTTTTTCCATACATAATTCCTCGTATTTTTTTAGCCCATAAATATTATTGACATCAAATATTAGTATCTTTAAATTATAATCAATTAATTATAAGCTATTATATTATAGTCTTTTATCAGTTTTATGTGTCTTCTATCAATTAATATTATTTATGTAATTTTGCTATTCCAACTTATTAGTAAATTTATATACAGTTACTTTAATTTATACAGTGACGTTTATTTTTAATCTATCATATCTTTTCAAATTTTTATCCCCTAATTAGATGTTTTTCATCTATTATTATTGCTATTTTTACAGTATCACCTTAGGCTACTTTTAGATGCTTAAAAGGGATGATAAATCTTAAATTAAAAGTTAAATTTATATATCTTAATGAAAGAGTATCAAACAGTTACTCTTTCTTTGTTAAGTTTGAACTTTCAGTCATTTTTTGTGAATTTAAAATTTTGAGGATGTTTTTTATAATTTTTAGAACTTTGACAGTGTTTTTAAAAATTTTAAATTCTAAATTGAGTGCTTGTAATTTTTTTATTTCATATGTTGGTGGTAAGGTTATTCACATAGGATTAGGACATGATATAATTATGATTAGGATAGATTAAGACTTAAATAAAATATTTATAATAGTAAATGGTAATATTGACCATGAAAAGTTTTTCTCGAACTCGTGCTTTTAAGGAGAATATGATATGATATGATATGATATGATATGATAAAATCAACACCATGATCATACAATTTTTTCAAAGTCAAACAAGTGGATGAGCCATGCTCGAAGATAGTGGATTAACCACAAATTTTAAAGATAAGAAATTTATAATTGTTCTAGAAAAACCATTGTTTCTCCAACGTACGAATTTGATACTCATTTGTCTAGTGCTTAGCAGAAGATTATCATTAAAATTAATGACATGCAATTAAGGTATATATACACTGATATTAACCTAATTATTTAAAGATTGGCGAATAGAATTGTGTCATTGAGGAAGATTGTCAAAATATTAGATAGACTAATAAAATGCATGTAAACGTACAATAACCCCTATGCAACTCCAAATTTTGCAATTAAAATAGGCAAAACACGACTAGAGATTTTTTGCAAATTTATTTGAATTGACAAGTAAAATTCCTTCATTTCTATATACAACATAATAATGCAAGTTATCCTACAAATACATGGTACAATGGAGACTATTAAAGGGCGTTATTTACTCCTCATTGAATTTGTCAATTTTAGATGCCAATTCTGTGGTAACATCATATTTGTGGACCATTCGCATCTCTTTTATGGATGCTGCTTTTGCAATTAGGTAAGGATTAATTGGACTTTGAGAAGTTTATAACTTAGGCTTCCTCCCACTACAAATAAGAACTTTGCCTAAATCGCAAGTTCCTTCGTCATCTCAATTTTTAATTCCATCCATCATATCATGTGAGCTTTAATGACAAATCAAAGTACTTTTAATTCTAGGGGTGAAGTTATTCTTCCCCTTATAAGAAGTAAAGAAATTCAAAAGTGAAATTTCTTTGTTGGTAGAAAGATATCACTGTAGGTACCGTTTGGCAAAGGGTTAAGTGAGGGGTTAAGGAGACTTAACCCCTTCTTAACCTGCCAAACACAACAAATTTATATAAGGGTTAAAGTGAGTTAACCCTCCATAATTTGCCAAACATAAAAAATATAGAAGGGTTAAGTTAACCCCTCTAGAGGGGTTAAAATGAGTTTAACCCCTCAAAATGAGGGGTTTACTAATACTCCTATTTAGATGGAATAAGAGTTAACCATTCTAATTGTAAAGAAAATAGTCAAAATCATTGTTGTTCCCAAACATTAAAACTGATCATATATAAGGGCTAAAATAAAACTTATTTAACAGGTTAATAATTTAGTCCTTTTAGATTATTAAATGGGCTAAGTACATTAATCCTTCTCTTTAACCCCTCTTCATTAACCCTTTGCCAAACAAACTTGCTCCTGTAACGTTACAAACCTACGGCCTTTTACAATCTTACAAAATGACATTGATATATACCATAACTTATAATAGAAACAATCATGATTTGAATATTATTCACCTATATATGTACCAAATCGTTATAGAACGGTCTTTTAGTAAGAATCTAACTACTAAACCCATGGATAAATGAGTCTAACCACATTTACTCCTCTATACAAATAGGAGAACCTAATATTTACTATTCATGCTACAGTAATTTTTTATAGCATTATTGCTGTAGCAAACATGAAACTGAGAGTTTATACCGGGATTACTATAGCTAGCGGGGAAAAAAGTATACCGTGCTTTACACGGTGTTCACACTAGTAACTTTTAATTCTAAGATACAAAGACAATAATCAACTAACAAACCATGAGGACGGGGAAAATCATTTTTGTTATGTGTCATAGGAGGAAAATTTCCTTCACAGTACCCAACCACCACTTTTCTGGTTAATTTATTATTACTCAATTGTATCTTCTATTATGATTTGCTTAGGTAGTGGGCTAATAGGAACATCAAGGTCTATACCACATACATCCTAAACTATTTGTATCTTTCAAAATTTATTTTGAATGAATGAGATTGAATATGCATTTCTTGTTGGGTATACATCATCAAAATCTTCATGTGTGTTGTCAATTTTCATCTGTACATGTTCGGACTTAAATTCAACTTTATGTAGTTATTTGTTTAGATTTATATTTAGGGGATGTTTATTTGCATACAAGTAAAAGATGAAAGTGAACAAGTGGCTTGTTTTTAATATTTTAGGTGTTTGTTTGCATGCAGCTGATTACGAAAGTGAAATATAAAAAAGTTGCAACATAAATTTTAATGCAATTTTGACTTCCACTAAAAAAGTGGTGAAATCACATGAAAGCAAAAAAAATGACAACCAATTTTAATTAAATTATGTTAACTATATTTACTAATTAAATTATTTAACTATATTTACTAATGAATCCTATTTTGCCACATCATCTTCTCATTAAGCTTTTAACAGTAATTTATTTTTTTCAAACAAACACTATATTTTACTTACATGTCGATGTGGATGTGAAAGTCGTTCGTGAAAAAAAGCAACTTACATATTTTCAATTCACTTTTGAATTGCCGAACACCTCCTTACCACCTTGATTAGCACAATGAAAATGATAAAAGGAGTCCAGCTAGTGTAAGCTAGAAATAAAAGACAACTTAGCCCGTTACACATTTAAAATAACATTTGGCAACTTTTCTTTTTTACTATTACTAATAACCATTGGCTAAATTATAAGATTGGTATATATATTTAATGGCACATCTATAATAGTGAGAGCTATTTAGTGGCACTAGCAACGACAAGGGGTATTTTTTTAGCCTCAAATTAATCTTGAATTTTGCACTCCTCATCCGTTTAACTAACAAGAAGAACAACTAAGTTACTACCTCATCCCCCAAATCAACACTGATTAGAGTAATTATAATTAGTTCTTGGTTCACGAAGAATAATACTTGATGGCAAATCCTTATGCCTAAGACGCTGCCTGAGCTTCTTTCATGCGCGGTGCTTCTTAACTCATGACATGTTTAAAAAAAAAAAATAATAATAAGTTTGGGAGATAATTTATAAATATGAGAAATACATATGCAAAGAATTCATAATTTTGCACTCAGAAGTTCACCGTCAGCAATCGCACAAGCCTTAATCAGCTCTCTCGTGCTCACGAGTTGAGAAACACCACGGAATGTTTGGCAATCTCTCTATTTTAACCCTATCAAAACACACCTCCGGCTTTCACGTGCCGTCCATTTTCGCTGTATAAACTCACAAAATAGAATCCAAAGGAAAGCTGTCGTAAATTATCTCCAAAATGTACAGAAACATTATCATAACTGCTAAGCCCATAGCCTACAATATACAACGACTACGGATCTGTTAGCACAATAACAAAGATCGTTTAAGCTCACTTCTACAGCATAAAGCAAGACAACATGAGAACTGATGGCAACGTCCAGGACTACAGCCTGAAGACCACCCCACCAGCCCAAAATAGTAATAATCTGAATCAGCGTTCCAAGTGCTACAACAAACAGCCACAGGCATCCTGCCTCAAATCCTGCTCTCTCTTATCTGGGGCTAGTAGAACTCATATATCCCAGCTTCTCAGTCAACAGATTGACATCATCATCACCCCTCTCCTCAAACTCAGCCCCACCCTTCTCCTCCCCAATATTCTCGTTCAAAAGCTCTTCCCAGAACTCGTCATTCAGCTCTACATCCACTTCCTCTTGCTGCTCCTTGTTCTCCTCGCTCCGAAAACCCTGCATCTCCAACGCTAAACTCTCGAGCTCCGGGACTTCACACCCACCGTAGACCCCCCTCAGTCGTTCGCCTTCATTCTTAAACTGCACCCCACTGCTTCCTCCTACGTCACAATGAGGAAAATGCTCTATAGGACGCCGCCTCTTTTTAGAAATGGCTTCCTCGAGCTCCTTTCTCTTGTCATTCTGTTGAGCTAACTGTTGTAAGAAATTAGGGTTCCGCATTGCTCGTGCCAAAAAGGCCATCATCTGCTGCTGCTTTTGCTCAGTGCCTTGGAGCCTTTCTTCCATTGCTTTGAGATGAGTTCTGGTGTTCTGCTGCTCCTGCCTCAGTTTAACTAGTTCGGCCATTAGGATGTTCTTGTCGCGCTTTAGCCTGTCAATCTCTCCATCGAGCCCGAAGTTTCCTACTTCGAGGTATGGGGTGAGGGATGTGTTTTGAGATGGTGGGTGGGGGGGTGGCCTTCTTCGCTTTATGGTCTTGAGTAGATGCTTCTGGCCTTTGAGAAATCCTTCGTTGGCGAACTCCCAACGGTCCGGATCCACCTTTCTAAAACCCTGCTTACATTTAGAATACAAGTTGAGATTGACATTGCAGTGCCAACTACAACCGGGAGTGGAGCTAATGAGAGATTAGATATTATAAAAACAAGGATTATAATCCATTAGCCAATTATTGGAACTAGCATAAGTTGAATGCACCAGTTACCTCCAATGTGCAAGTCATTTCATTCGTAGAAGCTTCTCTAATCCATCTTTATTCTTCAACCTTCATCTTCTATAATTATTTTAGAAGAATATAAAGTAAAAACACTAGAAGGTCAGATTGCAATGCTTAAGTGGATCAGCATTTAAGAGAATTTGAATAGATTAGGCTTTGTATTTTCTCCCTTCTTTTACAATAGTTGATGGGATTTGATTAATAGGAACTAGTTATGTATAACTTTGTAAAATATGGGCCTTTGCAAAATCAGAATCTTTTGTCCCTTTATTTGTTTGTTTCACCTTGTAGATTCAAGACTTCTCTTGAGTTGAGCTTCAACTTCAAACTTCACTTATTTGTACGCAAGCTGCGGAAGAATAACAAACAAATTACTCCATTGCAAGTCTCTACATTATTCTGAGAAGGTGGATATTTTTCTTAAAGACAAAGTGGCTAAACACAAGAGAATAGAAATGCGAGCAACCCATTTGGTGACATTGTTCGGCATGCATTTAAGAAGCATGAATCATGGGATACGACAAAATCATGACACGGAAGCATATCGACATGAAATTTAAGCGTTCGCATATGATAAATCGAAGAAGCGTATATACATAGATACCTGAATACATACAATTTTCGTTCGTCAATTTTTTTTCAATAATATACTAAACAAATACACATCCACTAAAAATTCAATTCATCACAGATCTCTACAACTAGACAAACGAATAGATCCTGACTCCTAACTTTTATCTCATTCATTTTCATAAAGAAACACATCTATATGCTATTATAGTTTTGTACAAACCAATAATAATGTTTTTTCTACTAAATGAGCATCTCAAGTTCACATCGTTTACAAAAAAGAAATCTGAACAAGAACGCATGAAAAGTGCATTTTAGAAATTTCCCGATGGGAACAGAGAATTTGCAGAAGGCATCACAATTTGGCAAATTTCATTGCAAGTGTTCGCATTCGCATGGATGATGGTGTTAGAATTTTTTGACTCTTCATATTCTATTATGTGACATTAATAGCAATTTGAATTTGAATTTTGGAATTAACTACTTTAGTAGTTTTAAAGACATAACTATGAACTCCTAGATGGTGGGAGTTCTATAAAAGAGAGTCATTTGTCCACACATATAAAAAAATATAATCAAGTCCTGTGATAATAATCCATCATTTCGTTTTGTATTGTGGAGCGGACAAGGAAGAACAATTATTAGTAATTCGGTGTTCATTACATTCAACAATGGAAGTAGCCAGTAGGTATGTACCATTTTTTTTTTATTCAATCTCGTTTTAGTATGTAAACGAGTGTTAAATTATGTTCATCATGCTATAAGAAATCTTACAATTGGTATCAGAGCCTATAAATTATATGATGCAATTTTGTTGTTTTTCCCGAATTTATTTTGGTACAATTTGTTTTTTGTACTATTAAAGGTTTTATAGAACTTGGAATCATCTTTTACCAACTAATAAAGTAGACTAGTGGTAAGAGTTTTGAGTGAGGAGTCTAAAGGTCATAGGTTCAAATCCCCTCATATTAATATATCTTGACAAGGGGGGTCTTGGGCTTGATTAAAATAATAAAATAAAATCCGAATTTTTTTCTCTTCTTACATTGCAGTTCGGAATTTCCATTTGAATCGAATTTTTTATTTCTTACATTGAAGTTCGGAATTTCCATTTGGACAAACTGTATACATTTCATTTTAATTTTTCTTTTGGATTGAATGATTTTATAATGACTGTTTTAATGTGATTAAATTTTAAACTTGTAGAATGGCCACAGCATCTATAAGCCATGAAAATATATCTATAAGTCATGAAAAATATATGTTATATCTCATTATTAAATATGTTAATTCAATCCAAAGTTACAATTATATTTACATATATCTCTGCTATACCCCACATGAAAGTAATGATCTATGTAAATTTATTGGGTTAAGAAAGCATATTTGTTTATAATGGGAAAATTTCTTATACCCACAGGTATGGAAATTTTTTTCATTATAATCAAACTTTTGTTGTTCTTAATTAAAGACTAAGTAATGAATCTATGCATTTTAGGACCTCTACCCACAGTAAGGTTAAAAGTCATTACTTTGAATAAAGTTTAATTTTCATAGTATTAATTTTGTTTCATTTCAATGCAGTAGTTCTTGTTTCTATAGTTAATGAAGTACCGATTCTAAGCGGCGATAATTCTTCAGATTGGAAGGACAATATCCTTCTAAAATTGGGCTGCTTAGATCAAAACTTGGCTCTCCATAAAAAATGTCCTCCTACTCCCACGAAGACTACGGAACCAAGAAGGCTGAATTTGAAAAATGGGAGTGTGCAAATCGTCTCGGTATGATGCTTATGAAATCTCATATTAGTAATAATATTTAGGGATCAATTCCTGAATTTGGTAAGGTAAAGAATTTCATGAAAGCAATCGAGGGGCAATTTATTGTTTGTGACAAGACTATGGCTACAACCTTGATTCAGAAACTCACAAATGTGAAATATGATGCTCGTAAGGGTGTGCGCATGCATATTATGCAATTAAGGGATATTGCTTCCCAACTTAAACCTCTAAAAATTAATGTATCTGAATCATTTCTAGTGCATTTCATACTTTCTTCACTTTCAGTGGAGTATAGACCTTTCAAGATCTCTTAAAATACACACGAAGAGAATTGGTCCGTAAATGACCATGTATGTTCAAGAAGAAGAAAGACTTAAACATGAGGTTATAGAAAGTGTTAATATAACAATTAATATAAAAACTCATGATAAGAATTTAAAGGCAAAAATGGATCTGATATGCTAAAGGTTAAAGGAAAACAACCTATGAAGTTTAAGGGTAAGGGTCCAAAGTGCTTCTTCTGTAAAAAGAGAGGACGCGTTAAGAAAGATTGCCTGAAATACAAGAAATGGCTCGCAAAGCTAGATAATATCATATCATACGTTTGTTTCGAATCTAATTTTATTCATGTTCCTAATAATACTTGGTGGATTGATTCTGGTTCGTCAATTCATGTTGCCAATACTATGCAGGGGTTTCTAACCCAACGAACGCCGACGGCAAGTGAGTCGGGCATCTATTTAGAAAATGAAATACGGTCACTTGTAAAGACCGTTGGAACGTATCGATATATTTTAAAATCTGGTTATGTAATTGATTTGAAAAATGTGTTCTATGTACCTTCATTTTCAAAAAATTTGATTTCTGTATCAAAACTAAGTATTTGTGGTTATGAAATTAATTTCAATGTTAATGGATTTCTTTTATATAAATACGAAGTTTGTATTGGTTCTGGAATATTATCTGAAAATCTTTACAAACTTAATTTAGACACAAACTTTAAAAATAATTTGCTTTCTTTAAACATCGATAATGTTGGCAATAAAAGAAGTATCATTAAGGAAAAGCTCCCCTATATTATGACATAAGAGATTATGCCATATTTCAGTTAATAGAATTAAAATGTTAGTAAATGAAGGGGTTCTTCCTAATCTAAACTTTACTAACTTTAATACATGTGTGGATTGCAAAAAGGGAAAGCAAACTAACATTACTAAAAATGGTTCTAAAAGGTGTACAGAATGTCAAGAAATTATTCATACAGACGTATGGGGACCATCTCCAATTCCTTGTCTAAATGGTCAAAAATACTTCATCTGTAAAAATCCCTATGAAGTTCAAGGGTAAGGGTCCAATTTGCTTCTTCTGTAAAAAGAGAGGACACGTTAAGAAAGATCACCTGAAATACAAGAAATGGCTCGCAAAGATAGGTAATATCATATCATATGTTTGTTTCGAATCAAATTTTATTCATATTACTAATAATACTTGGTGGATTGATTCTGATTCGTCAATTCATGTTGTCAATACTATGCAGGGGTTTCTAACCCAACGGACGCCGACGGCAAGTGAGTCGGGAATCTACTCAGGAAATAAGATGCGTTCACTTGTAAAGGCCGTGGGAACGTATTGACTTATTTTAAAATATGGTTATGTAATTGATTTGGAAAAATGTGTTCTATGTACCTTCATTTTAAGAAATTTGATTTCTGTATCAAAACTAAGTATATGTGGTTATGAAATTAATTTTAATGTTAATGGATTTCTTTTATATAAATATGAAGTTTGTAATGGTTCTGGAATATTCTCTGAAAATCTTTACAAGCTTAATTTAGACACAAACTTTGAAAATAATTTGCTTTTTTTAAACGTAGATAATGTTGGCAATAAAAGAAGTATCATTAAGGAAATTTGATTTCTGTATCAAAACTAAGTATTTGTGGTTATGAAATTAATTTCAATGTTAATGGATTTCTTTTATACAAAAATGAAGTTTGTATTGGTTCTGGAATATTATCTGAAAATCTTTACAACATTGATTTAGACACAAACTTTAAAAATAATTTGCTTTCTTTAAACGTCGATAATGTTGGCAATAAAAAAAGTATCATTAAGGAAAGCTCCACTATATTATAGCATAAGAGATTAGACCATGTTTCAGTTAATAGAATTAAAAGGTTAGTAATTGAAGGGATTCTTCCTAATCTAAACTTTACTAACTTTAATACAGGTGCGGATTGTATAAAGGGAAAGAAACTAACATTACTAAAAAGGGTTTTAAAAGGAGTACAGGATGTCTAGAAATTATTCATACAGACATATGGGGATCATCTCCAATTCCTTGTCTAAATGGTCAAAAATACTTCATCTGTAAAAAACCCTATGAAGTTCAACTTACGAAGTTCAAGGATAAGGGTCCAAATTGCTTCTTCTGTAAAAAGAGAGGACATGTTAAGAAAGATTGCTTGAAATACAAGAAATGGCTCGCACGATAGGTAATATCATATCATATGTTTGTTTCGAATCTAATTTTATTCATGTTCCAAATAATACTTGGAGGATTGATTCTGGATCGTCAATTCAAGTTGCCAATACTATGCAGGGGTTTCTAACCCAACGGACGCCGACGGCAAATGAGTTGGGCATCTATTTAGGAAATGGGATGCGGTCACTTGTAAAGGCCGTGTGAACGTATCGATATATTTTTAAAATCTGGTTATGTAATTGATTTAAAAATGTGTTCTATGTACCTTTATTTTCAAGAAATTTGATTTCTGTATCAAAACTAAGTATTTGTGGTTATGAAATCAATTTCAATGTTAATGAATTTCTTTTATATAAATACGAAGTTTGTATTGGTTCTGGAATACTACCTGGAAATCTTTACAATCTTGATTTAGACACAAACTTTGAAAATAATATGCTTTCTTTAAATGTCGATAATGCTGGCAATAAAAGAAGTATCATTAAGGAAAGCTCC